TACTACAAAATTATTAGGTACTTTATAAGTTGCTTTGAAAAATTTTCTAGTTTTTTTGATATTTCAGATCATGCAACAATCATATTCAGTCTATCTTTTGTTTTTTAAGATTAAACTGGGAAGATTAATGGTAATATATGGACTATATTTAGTATTAACAGATTTGAAAGGAACTATAAGAGACAAAAAATATTTAATTAATCAATATTTAATTTAAAATCAAAAAATAAATCTAGTTTGAGTATTAATTTAGAATACTAACAATAAAGTGTAAGATATGCTTATTAGAATTTATTAATATTTTTTGTCTCCTCTTATTTCTTTCTGTCAAATTAGAAACAATTAAATTAATTTAAAACAACTAGTAAATTTATACACAAATTGTAGCAAACTAATAATTCACAATAAACTGTAGATAAAACTTAATATTTTTAATAATTATATTGTTTATTTTCAAAAAGAAATTGAGATTTAATAATCAAAAATTACAATCAATAGTTAAAATAAATTATATATATATATATAAAGGATATAATTCGTATTACGAAATTAAAATTAAAAAACACTAAGCCTTTAAATTGTTAATAATAATATACAGTATTTGACATTTATCGTATAATTTAAATTTTAACATTAAATCTATTATATAATAAATCTATATATTATATAATAAATCTATTATATCTATTATATATACTATAAAATGCATTAAATATATACTATCTAATCTTATTATAAAGTTATTTTTAAATCTTGTTGAATAACTTATTTTGGTGAAAAAATGTTTTATATGATGACATACGAATAAATAATAAAAATTAAAAGCAAACGTTAAAAATTATAAATTAATAAGCTAAATAAATAATAAAATTTACAATACAACAAATAATAGAATAATAAAATTTTTATTCTACCTATATTTCTAAAATATCTGTCAATAATAGAAAAAACTTACAGTGATATATCCGTAGATCAATCTTCAATCCAAAGAAATGCGTATCAAATACTGGATTTTCTTTTATTTCTTCTTTCGCGATTCCGCAATAGTGCAAAATGTGATAAAATAATCACTGCTTCATAATGCAGGGATAAATAAACTAACTTATAATCAAATTCATCTCATTCATAAAGAAAATGTAGACATCGTAACATATTTCAACTGTACAGGGTCAATTAAAAGCTTCGCTTTTTTTTTATACAAACTATAAAAATTTGTCATTGATAATAATTTGCTATACTTGTACTATTATCATTCATAATTTTGATAAAAGAGAAATGATATCTCCCTGATAATAATGCTTATTAAATAAAAAACTACGTAGATACAAAAAATTCAAGAGAAATAAGGTATCTAAGATTGCGGCCAACATTCCAATAAAAATTTCTACATATGTGCATGCTAATGGAAATGTCGAGGGAGAACAGAGGTAAATATAAATATATCTAGATATACAGGTTGAAATAGCTATTTATAGACATTAATAACTACAAA